TGGATGGAAAACAAGCATTTTTTTATATGCATCCTATAGCATTTTTATTATGAATGTACAAAAAATAGCTTTTTCTATCATTTTGGAAAACTACTTGGAGCCCTTTCTCCCCTAGTCAGCAAGAGCACTATTCATTGATTTTTTCAGATAAAGTAACAGGCTCTTGTATTCTCCACGGTATCTTAGCAAAAATGCCAAAAACATCTACAATTTCTCTACAGTGCATCATATTCTACAGGAGTCCCCAAGGTCTGAATAACTAGCAGTGTGAAATATACACAGACTTAATGAATTTTGATCCTGACTCTGAACTAAAGTTACACACAGGCTGCTGGAAAACACAATTTCACCACAGATGACCAATTCTTTTCCTCTTGCAGCAAGGACATAAAGACTCACTACAATGTGCCTTTTAATTCTGAAGTAAAAAAGACAGCCTGATTCAGAAACTCCAACCTCTCTGCCTTCCTCCCAGCCTGCAGTTCATCCTTTCCCACTGGTAACAACGAGAGGAGTAGGCTGGAACCAAATCCCCAGCCACTTGAAATCAATGTAGTTCATGAACTGCCTATGGCTGACAGACCTCTGGATAGGAAAGCCCACAGATGCTGCCAATTTCAAGACAATTTCACTGACCAGCGACAGAAGACTGTATCAAAATATATTTCTATTACATTTCTAATTCATAACAAGTCATTAATCTCTGTAATATATACAAAGACAGAGATTGCTTGAAAATATTCACAATGGAAAGCAGTCAAGATGAATTACTTTAATAGCCTAACATCATCCAGTGGAGTCATATGGTTAGAAACGCCCTAACACCAAATCACCCCTATCTGTAGCCAATCAAAACGTTAGTCAGAGTTCTGGAAGATAAGGAGATCATGGGAACATTCTGAAACAAGAGGTGAGCCACAGTAGCAGATAAGCTACATAAGTCAGACTTGCTGGGCAGGCGGCACTGCAAGCTAGTGAGCTGACGGCAGATGGAACTGAGAGTCTGGATACAGCAAAAAAAACTGGTTGAAAACTAATGAGCTCTATTAAGATGCTAAAGACAACAACTCTCCCTTTCTGTTCACCTGTCTTTAAGCCAGGATTAGATGAGCCCCTCCTTCAGCACAAATTTACTCACCAAAAGTTTTCAAAACCATAAAGAAAAGCCTCCCTCAATGAAAGAGATCCACAACAGTCACTTGAAGTTACTCAGCACAAAATGAGCAGAAGATGCATAATTCAAAACTCATAGAATCTCATGAAATTTTGGAGGCCCAGAGCATTCTACATCCTACCCATAAGCCTCTAGTCTGGCTCCAGGACAACATTAAGAGCTGTATCAAAGAATCACAGGGGTTAGAAGGGACCTTCCTCTGGAGATCATCTAGTACAACCTCCCTGCTACAGCAGGCTCCCTACAGTAGGTTGTGCAGGAAAGCATCCAGATGGGTCTCTTGAATATCTCCAGAGAAAGACTCCATCATCTCCCTGGGCAGCCAGATCCAGCAAACAGAGTAAAGATGTTTTTTCTCATGTTCGTATGGAGCTTCCTGTGCTCCTGTCCGTGCCCACTGCCCCTCTCCTGTCACTGGGCACCAGTGACTGTGTTTTTTCCACAGCAGGGGAGCTTCCAGGAAACGGAATTTCAAGACAGGATCTTTAATGGAAGCCAGCTACACGACACACCAACTTGGGTCTTAGTTCAGACTAAACTGTGGTTGGCCAGGTGCTCACAAATGCTCTGTCTCCTTCCTGCAAGTTGCCAACCGTTCCTTTGCTGCTGCTACGGGATCCGTAAGTCCTTATGACAGCAAAATATCTACCACCAATAAAACTGCAGCACTTTTTAAGATATTCATCAATATCAGTCACTCTAACTTCCAAATGTCAGAAAAACCTTTCTCCCCCAGTTCTGCTTTATTAGCAAATGAATTGCTCCCTTCTCTCCATCCACTTTCTTTCTTGACACACACACACATACTCTCATCTATGTATTTTCCTTTCCTTTGTTAGAGCCTCAGGATTCATACTTAGAGAAACATTGCCAAGACTTCAAAGGTTTTTTTTTTATTCTGATACAATGGTCCCAGAAGCATTAATAATGTTTTCAGAAGAACACAATACAAAATGATCTACTCCTGTAAATGAGACAATCTCATACAGCGTATGCTATCTGAGCTTCTAGCAGATAGCAGCTTCCAAAGACTTCTAACTGCAAGAAGCTTACAGAGTTTTTCTCCCAAGACATATTCAACGAAGGATAAGTGCCCTGTCATGAACTGAAAGGCTTTCATGGTCTTATAAACTTCTATAGCTGCAACTTCTGACAACTGGGGATTTTTTTTATTTGCACGTAAGCAAGAGAAGAGGATGAAGTGGTAAATAAATTAACTTTGTTGAAAGCCTTTATGAAAAGAGAAGTAAAGCTGCAGACTTGCGTGGGAAGCTAATAAAAAGGGAGCAGAGTAACTGCAGTGCAATGACACAAAAGATTAACAAGCTCTCAAGCAAGGACTTGCATTCCTCGAGGTATGAAGTCCTTTCATCCTAAACACACAGGGAAATATTCACATAAGGAAATTGCTGCGTACCATATACACAACCATGCATCTGCTCGGCCCCTAAAGCTTAAAGGAAATACAGAGCTGACATAGATAAGAATAAGCACTTCCCATAAGAGAGCCTATTCAGAGCACTATATTCATACAACATAAATGTTTTAACTATCTGTCTTAAAATTAAAGAAAAAAACAAACAAACACAAAGTTCAGGCAGTCAGAAATTTTGACAACCCGTTCCTGAGAGCTTCATTAAATTGAGAAGGTCAGTTTTCTGGGTAAGTGCATGAAACGTTGCAGCTGAAAACCCACATTTTCTCACCAATTTTCGATGTGATCTTGACTGAGTCTCTTAGCCTTTCCCATGACTGCTTTCCCCAGTTGTAGTAACAGGGTTACATAAACTACATTCTAAAGGAAATGAGCTTGCTGCTTGCTCCCTTTTGATAGGAGCCTTCTTCTCATTACAGTGGAAATCCCAATCTCTGGCTACCATATAGGAACAACAACAACAACAAATTCCGCAAAAGTTACAACTACAAACTTGGATCCTTACAATATCATCCAACAAACATCAGTTTCAAATATTTTCAGATGCTTACATCTTACTTTTAGCAATTCTTGAAGCATCCAGATCCGCACATCAGTGGGGGAAGATATAAGCAGAAAAGATTTACATTGCTGCAGAATAACAGGAAGTGACTAAAAATGCCACAATTTCAGTTCTGTGACATGCTTGATCTGTGAATCTGTGTTCTAACTGAAGAAACACCTATTAAAAAGAAAGATTAATTCCAATGCTATGCCAAAAATCACAAGCTTAACACAAGTTTTCTTAAAACTTTAGCACTCTGAGGCACATTTGGGTCTCTCAGATTCCATCCACCCAGCTCTTGTGGTTAAAGAAAAAAGTGCATCTCAACAACCTGAATTTCATAAAGCGAATGAAATGTTCCAGCTGTATTTATTTAATCCAATTATTCTTAAAGTATTCTTACAGTTTTGGAGCATGGAGCTGAATCACTGGACAGGGCTTTGGGCAACTTGATCTAGCAGAAGCTGGCTCATGGTAGGTAGGTTGGAACTAGATGATCTTTAAGGTCCCTTCAACCCAATGCATCCTATGATTCTATGTTTTCTTTTCATTATCTGGAGAAGTCATCACTGCTAACAACATTTCAATATATGTACGTAAGCATATTTTTTCCATTAGCAGTTTTACTGTATCACTGTAAAGTTCTCCTTTACTGTAAGTAGAAATTCCCACCAAAAATGTTGAGGGGTGTCTCACTGATCCAACTTTGACAATTTTGTGTTTTTTGTTGGTTTGCCTTTGAGTGTTCACACATGATCACACTGACACGTCTACATACGCAGAAGAAAGAGGAATCAGAAAGAACTGTATTCTTGATAACCAGTCAGAAAATAATGACATCTTCCCAGAAAGTTATTTGTTTATTCTTTCTCACCTGTGAACAACTTTTAAAGATAATTCAAAAGTATAATAAGGTTACAGGTACAAACAGCAGCAAACTAAGTTCTTAACAGAGATGCATGTAGACATCAAGAAAATACAGTGAAAGGTTTTGGATCCACATACTTTGAGCAGTGTTCCCCCACTCTTCTCATAATGCATAAGCACAGTAGCAATCCTCAATCTATACAGTAGAGGCCCTAGTATTATAACAAACATGTAATTGAAAGGGGAAGTGCTGCTCTAAAATCCTCAGCGCCAGAGGTTCACAGTATCCCTGAACTCATGCTGTCACTCTTTGCAAGAAAGTACAGTCTCTGCTGTCACTCCCTACTTGATGACAGAATCATATTGCAATAAATAAATAAATAAAGCTGAACTTTAAATTAATTTGGCTAGTGCCACTGGCAAAATGTCTCATCTCCCACTCACCATAAACCACAGAAAGGCAAGGAGAGAGAGAAAGGAAATATACACTGGAAAGACAGATGGGAAGATGACAGTGTTGTGGGCTAACACAGATATTAAAATGTGTCATCTATCCCTGCTCTCAATCAATTATTCTCCGTCCAGAACAGATATCTTGAAGTAAAAGTGGTTCCAGGGTTTCCATATTACTTACCTCATCATACCCCTCCATAAAGTGTGAATTTCCACTCTGAATACACAGTTTATCACTAAACCAGCAAAACATGATTCATTTTATAACGGCAACAAGTTCAAACTACTGTGCTCAGAGGATGTATCAAACAGTACACATTTAACCCAGTTTCAAGAAGAGCACACCTCTCATTACCATTGTAATATGCACTGCTCAGTTAGGCAGGAAAAATGAAGAAAGAAAAATTCAGGAACTGTCAACACAAGTCTCATAATGACCCCAAACGTACTTACATCTGAATATTAATTTTGCACAGCACAACACATCTCAAGAGCTTACAGTACATCATAAGGTTTCCTTTTCTTACCTGGATCTGTACAGTTCTTTCCTTCCTGCGTCCCATTAGATAATGCCATCAATATTCTATTCCTCCACGTCCCTGATGAAACATGTGTGTCTGCAATACTTGATTGTTGCCCTGTATGAAATAGAAAGAGGTTATATCCACTGTCACTGAGTTTTATCCTCTATCATCTTAACAGGACTTCATGCTCCCATTAGCCAGGATCACGGGCAGATCATCAATATCAGTAAGTGAACACAGCAAAATGACAGTGTACCTCTGGCACATGTCAACGCAAGCATGCCTGGTGCTCCCTGGTGCTATCAAGGGTAAACTAGCTATGAAGGTGGAGTACCTAAGCTGTCAGCACATTCTGGCTATCGGAGTACCTGGCTGTGACCCATAACAGCAAAGTAATTCTGCGGCAAGCAAAAGTTGAAACCTCTATCTGTGAAACTCAACACTTCCATACCCTATACATGGAACCAGCCCAGCTATGCTGACATGAATAATGATCACATTTTCATTTAATCAGCTGCATTTGCAGATGCCACATCACTGATTTATCAAAAACATAAATGCATGTTTCCAAGTTCCAGATATATTTCTGCTTAATCCAAACCAAGGGACTGGTCTTTTTAGCATAGGGTGTACTTGGTAATATCAATCTCTGCAAAATTTGTTGAGGAAAATGAAAAATAGCATAGTAAAACCCCACAAGAATTAAGAAAAACAAAACTTCTTTAGAAATCAGAGGAGATTTAGTCTGAACTCATATTCCAGAAACAGTCTCTTACTGAACTTACTGAATACAGTTTGTAAGGTGCACTTATGTTGTACACGATCATAACAGCCAAGGGAAGAAGAGATTCTCTTAAGTAAACTGCTTCCATTTCAACCATATCTATTTCAAATAATATAATAACAAAAAAACTCTCATACTTGATCTTAAAATTTATACTAGAATGCTCAAGGTTTGCTACAGTAACTCTTGCTAGAAAAGCTTTCTAGCTTGGAAAGATAGTTTGGGTAAAACATTTGCTAAAATAGTCTGCTGCCACAACTATAAGAAATTCAGAGAACAGATGGTCAGTGTTTATGGATATAATATACTGTAAATTAGGGGGCTGAAATAAATTCTACCTGATGGAGCATACCAACAAAAATCAGGTTATCGGGGATTTAGCTGATAACCAAAGAGATTAAAAACTTTCATTAGTCACGGCATTCTTCAGGCAAGACCAAAAAACATCTGGAAACCCTTTATCTGCAACAAAAACCTCAAACTATGTAAACACAAGTATACCTCAACCAAGCTGCCTTCACAAACCAGTCCATTTATGAAAAAATCTAGCTACTTCAAGAAAAAAAGAAGTCATAGGCACAACAGATAAACAGCGCTAAACAAGGGGGGCTATGCTGTGAAACCACGATTTTAAAAAATGTTGGAAGTTCTAAGACAAGCTATATGCTAATACAGCTGATATATACAGCACTAAGCTGTTGCATCTAGAACGGCAACAAGCCACCCACATACCTCAGACATCACAGGTGACAGTGTGAGCACAAGGGCCTCAGAAAGTAAGAAAAGTTCCACAGGATTTTTTTCTTCCTAAAGCACACATTTCAACTTCAACTTTAAGCGGATGACCTATTCTAATTACAGTAGAGATAGGATCTGCACTTCGTTTGATTTTGTTCTTAAATCCTCAGGAAACGTTGGCTGTCCTACCTAGGAGCCTGTATGCAATACCCAGTAACCTTCGGTTTCCTATCTGGGTGGATGCGAGGCAGAATGGAAGGAGATTGCCTCCAGCTGTACATTCACAGCCCCAAACGTGCCAGCGGGCAGAAAAACAAACAAGACAGCAACAAAAGAAACAAACAAACAGAAAAACACCGGGAACAACACAATCGATTATCAGTTTACCAATATGTCACTCGTATAAAGGATGCAACGCACTCCCTAAAATACGAGGCCGGCACCGTTCCTTGCCTATCATACAGAACGTTCTGTCAATCCCAGACCGTCACTTAGGGGAGAAGATGGAGAGAAGCAGCCGTTGCAGCTGATGGATGGAGGTGTACAGCCACAGGTTACCAACGAGAGGCGGCCCGGAGCTGCCCGGGGACCAGAGGCGGCCGGAGCGGCGGCAGCTCAGCGCGGCGGGCAGGGGGCGGTTCCCGCTCGGTGCCGACCCGAAGCCCCGCGCCCCGCCGAGCCGGCACTGCTCCAGCACTCACCCCGCCTGGAGAGCAGGCTGGACATGCACCAGACGAAGAAGAGGATGGCGCAGATGAAGCCCAGCTGCTGCAGTAGCATCTCCCGCCGCTTGCGAACTTTCCTCAGCAGCGGCAGCATGGTCTTCGGGCGCGCGAGCGGCGCTCCGTCCAGCTCCATGGGCGGCGCGGGGCCGGCCGGCGGCTCGCTGCGTGCGGGGCTCAGTCCCGCCGCCTCTCCGCGGACGGCTCCATGGCGGGCGGGCGGCAGCGCGGGGCGAAGCCGGTGCCCGGAGAAGCAGGGCGGCAGGCGGAGGCGGGCGGGAAGGCGGCCCGGCGGGGGGGCGAGGCGGCGCTCTCAGGGGCCGGGCTGAGTCCCGCTGCCCGCGCGCACCATGGCCGGCGGCGGAGGAAGCGGAGCGGCGGGCGCCCCGCAGCCGGCTGCGAGTCAGCGCCCAGCAACGGCGGCAGCGCTCGTGCCCGCCCGGCTAAGTTTCAAGCGGAGTCCTTTCCTCGCTCCGTCCCTCCTTCCTTCCACCCCTCGGCACCGGCGGGGCGCAGCAAACGCCGCCTCGGGACTGGCCGCCCTCTGGGCTCTCGCAGCGGCGCCGAACAGCCGCTCAACCGCAGCAGACTACCGCTCCCTCGAGCGCCCGACCCAGCCCGCCCCTCCCCGGCAACTTTCTGGGCGCTCCGCGGACGCCCATGGCAACGCGCAACAGCGCCTGGCTTCCCCAGGGAGGGGCGGGGCATCGGCTGGCCAAATTAATCCTTTCCCCGGGGCGTGGAGCGGCTGCTGTGAGCGCCGTGCGAACCGCGGGCGCGCGGCGGCGTTGGGGTCGCGCCGCCTCACTGAGGCTGTTGGAGCTGAGGGGGCAGCGGCACGCGTGTCACGCGGGATCTCTGGCCTCATAGTTCGCAACCTGGAACGTTTCGTGTCTGCCGTTATTTCTATTGATGTCACAACTGAAATACTAATAAAAATATCCTGCCAAAACGAATCTTCACGCGTAGAATATCGTTCATGCTCTGCGTTTCCCCTTCCTCCTGCAAGTGCGCATGGTGGTCTTTCGTTTTTGCTTACAAAGTATTTGTGCAGCAGTGGGTCGGGACACGGCGCTGCACCACAGACCCGCTGCGTGCTGACTCCAGGCTCGTGCCCCCGTGCCGCGGTGCAGAGGGGCTGCTCGGGCTGGACGGTCAGAGAAGCGGCTGTGTGAGCTTCGTTGCTCGCTTGCGTGCACGTAGCTGCGGAACTGTTCAAGCTGAGAGGGCGCCCAGGCTCTGGTGGGCCTTAGACTTTCTGATTTAGCCTGAAGCGTGTTAGAAGAGTGGCACTGAGACACACAGTGGTCATTCATTCCCTTGAATGCTGCTGAGGGAGCAGAAGTAACAGCGGACTGTCATGAGGAAGGTGGAAGACTGTATTACAAGTCAGCTCATGTCTGTTATTTTTCTCCATGCCTATGCAGGACATCTCCCAGTTGAACCCAGAATAAGGAAATCCACTCCTGACCAGCACAAAGTACAGTTTAATTAGGCAGCAGAGCTGCAGGAATCTGAATAAAGGTCCTTCTAACACCTAATTCTGTAATAGCTATTCTCACTTAGGTATCCTTCTCTCATAATGTAACTCAACTGAAGCCTTCTAGCTCAGGACAATTATAGCATACATTTGTTCATCGAAGACCTGTATGCTCCACTCTCAGTGTTTAGTTGGTGTCCCAGCAGGGACAGCACTGCATGGTTAGATGCCACTGCAGCCCCTAACAGCTGTCCTGAGCCCTAATTCTTCATGTGGCTTTTTATCATGTCTTTACACAAGCTTCCCCTTCAGCTTGAAATGGTAATGTGGACACCAATCTGCCATCCGCTTACTCAGTGGTTAATAAGAGCTGAAGTGCTGACATGAGTGTAGTTTTCTGCATAAAGATTATATCCAGCAATAGGAAGGTTGTGACAACTGGAAGGCACTGCAGAGATTCAATGTTTTCTCAGTAGCCACTTGTCATAAGCTCATTATATGCTTCACTGATAAGGCAGAGCAGAGCTGTAGGCTTTGGAGAGGCTGTTCTGGTAGTTATGTCTGACTGAGGTTGCCTGTGACTTTTGTATTTACCAGGTTTATTCTCCTGCTCTTTATACTGAGGATATTTTCTTATGTGCTGTATCCAAGTCATGGCACTCCTGATATGAAGAGTTGCTAACGTTAAGGCATGAAATGATCAGTTTGTCTGGAACTGAGGTAAATTTGGGTCAGGAGGTAATACCGTGACTTCCAGATATTTTGTATTTGTGTCTATGGGTTTCACACAAGGAGCACGGAACCGAAGTATTGTTAGAAGTCCTGAGTTTCACATGTGAGGGATTTTCATTTAATCTGTCAGGTCCTATGAAAATCACATGGATGAAATCAAAGCACATGGTCAGTTACAGGAATGCAAGTGCAATATTGTCTTTTTGGATGAGGGTTGTTTTCTCTTTTCTGGCTGCTAAAAAGGGTCTGTTTTATATGTAATGATTACAGAAATCCTGGGGCCATCCCTTGAGGAACCGAAAGCAAGAAGCAGAAAAAAGAAAAAAAAAAAAAAAAAGAGGGATTTTTTGTGAATGTTTTGCGCAAAAGAGAACTGCTACCTATGAGAGCAGTTCTCAGAGTGACTGTGTGCGTCTCTTCTCTCCCTGAGTACACAAATGAGGCAGATCAAAGTTCAGACTGTACTAATCTCCTAATCATACAGGCTCCTGATTAGCATTTTTAATCAGTCTGGTGATCACTAGGCAGCCTCAAAATTGCTCTTGAATGCTAAACTTCAAGAACAGAATTTCCAAATTACTTTTACTTTGGTGCTTCCTACAAAAAGTATGGGATTCTCAAAGAGAAACGTGCTACAGAATTGAGACTCGGTTACCTCTCCCCCAACAACTGGTAGCATCCACACCTCGCTGGGCCACTGGAGCACATTCAGGACATTCAGATGGAGGTAATTACTGGAATGATGTCACAACATTTTCTTCTGATTTGAAACTTTCATGTTGTGTGTGAGAAAACGGTGATAATGTCAGGGCAAAAAAGGAAATTATGGATAAGGTGATATTATATTCATTTACATTCGGTTTTTAAATCTGAAAATACTCTTGTCTCTTAGTGCAACAAGAAAAACTGTAAATTCAGTGCGGTCTTTTCCTTCGCAGTTTGAAAAGAAATTTGGAAATGGTGAGTAAGACACCCCCTGTAGTTTTCTGAGTGATGCTTTACTGAGAGTGGGTTGGTGATATTCCAGATGTTCACTGTCTTCATTATAATTGGAACAAAATATTTTCCATATTAGATCTAGGAGTATTCCTGACAAAATTATGTTTTGGAAATTAGAGGTATTTGGGAAGTATCAAAACAAAATTCAGAGGGAGAAAATATTAAATAGCACTTACCAGCTTATACTAAGTCAGACACAAGAAAGTATCTTTATCATTGTGCTTACGATTGTAATAATTTAACTTTCATGTATGTCTCATGGTAAAACATCTCACTGAAAGCACAGACTAATGCTAGCTGTAGCTATCTGCCAAGTTTGCTTGTTTTTCATCTCAAGCACAATTAGTATCTTGAACTGAATAACAGTCAAAAGGCTTTGAATTAGGAAAGAGTCTCACAGGAGATTCACAAAATCAGCTCATCTAAGGAGAAAATATTGATGCTGCTGAGAGTCAAAGGAGAAGCGTAACGCTTGGACGCATTCTCTATGGCATCCCCTAAAAGGAGTAGCAAAAGCAGCAGCAGCACAGCAGCACAGCAGGGTAGCTGGAAACAGAGATGCTATTAGTTGGCCATGAGGATTGTCACACAGAACAGTGAGACTGCATCAGCTGAGAAGCCCTGAGGTTTAGCAAGTGATCATTTGTGATCAGCCCAGCCCTAGGAGCCTAAGCAAGGCCAGCTTTTCCAGCTGATAAAACCAAGATCCCAATATCATTCCAGTATCCCCAAGATTAAGAGATAGTATCAAAGAAAAGCTAACAGCGTTACCACAAAAAAATACCAGAAAATCTCCCTTAAGCCATAAAAACTAAGATGAGAGGAAAAGGAGTTCATGAGTGAGACAACTGTGATCCTGTTACTGCTGTTTGGCCAAAGTGTTTCATGAAAGGGACACAGTGAGGGAAACTTAGTTTGATGCTGTCTGTAACCACTCTCCTGTCAAGAAGAAAGCACTCTTGTGTTTGTTTAGGACCTGGTCTCCAGGAAAGAACTTGATAAATGAGCTTGCAGAAAGCAAATATTAGTGTATCAATATTTTAATGTTGAACTTTAACTCAGGCCACCATACATTAAGCAGGTATATTTGGATGTTTCTTTAAGATCTGGTGAAAGGTGCTTTGCTAAAACATAGTTGCAGTTCACAAAGCAGATCTCACATTGGGATCAGCACTGACGGTTCTTCCAGAGTCTCTGCAATGAAGAGATTGGAACTATATGTGGATTAAGAGAGAAACTCCAGCTGTACTACCATCAGAGGACTCGTGTGTGTGCTAATATCCTCAACATTTCTCTACTCATTCTCATATTTTTATCTCCCATCCATTTTCCAGTTCTACTATGCAGTTGTCATGTTGTCATGCTTCAGAGACAGAAGTTTTTTTCTAATTCTGAGTTATTTCTGTAGTTTTACTCAGACCTTTGTTTTGTTTCCGAGGCTATAAATAATTTAACCTTGAATTGGAATTTAAATGCCATAAAGAAGATGTCAGTCTTGCACTATAGAATCATAGAATCATAGAATTGTTTGAGTCGGAAGGGACCTTTAAATGCTTTAACTTACCAATTCTCCCTTGTGCTTTTATATATTGCAGTTTCCTACTGCTGATTTTTCTTTAGAATAGTAACTGAAGTAACACTACTTTCACTTTCAGGTGAGCATCAGTGGTAACACCTCACAGCAAACACTTAGCTAGCAACCTCACATTTACCCAGACCTTACTTGAGAGCTTCATGGGAATTCAATGGGATTCTCCTGCTACATGCTGGGAAGCTACCAGCAAGAGTTTCTTGAACACTTCCTGCCATAGGCAACCTCATATAAGCCCAGGAAGTGCTGCTACATGTAATCTTGCTAATCAAGAAGAATCAAATATAGCAACCAGATCAACACTCTTAATGTGATTTATTTCAAGCTACAACAA